GGCTGGACTCTGGGCTGTAGGGCTTGAAGCTAATGCCGAGGACACTTTCTGGAGGCTGCGGAGGTCGGGCACCGAAGATGCTGCTGACTGTGGAGGCATGGAGGCTGGGAGGGACACTGCTGGGCGATGCCGTGGTCTGCGAGCAGAGGAGACCGTTACTGGCAATGACCGTTGCCCACTGGAGAGTCCCTGCGGCTGCCACCCCGCCACCCAGGCAGCCGTGAAGGCAAAGGCGATGCGGAGCCGAGCTCCCCGGCGCGGCGCCGAGCTCTCCGGCACGGCCAGCCGTTGCCACTGGTGGCTATTCTTCCACAGTGCCATGAACTGCACAGCAAGTTACCGCTGCGGTGCCTCTTCCTGTACCACAAAGCCCGAGCCGTGTCCCATCCGGGACGGCTGAAAACCTCTTCGTTGCAGAGCTTTTCCCCTTTAGGTGGCTGCTGGCCAAATTTCTCAAACCGATGGCTTTGATCAGAGCGATCAGCCGGTTATTTGGCATCGGGTCATTCACGCTGTGGCCCAGTTCCACGGGGCTAGTGCCCCAATTTATGCATCTATCCTTAATTAGCCATTTGAAAAATACAGTGCAATTTCCAGCTGTTATTTAGTAATACTTAATAATCAGTGTTTTCCAAGCCCTGAAACATCCTGCACCCTGGAATGCTGTTCCGCAGTTGTGTCACTCCTGATCCATGAATTTGCAAAAGAATATGTATTTGTTTCCTTTCCTCAAGATACACTCTTCCAAGCGTTCCATCAGCTTCGATCAACTACAGAAGTGAGAGCCTCTCATTTTCCTTCAGAGAGGACCTGTGTACAAAGCCCACAATAAATGCCGCTTCTTCTGCCACTGTAATTTCATTTGTAAAATCTCAGATACATCTCTGCCAATAAGAAACGACTGCGTGCCTTACAGAAACGGCAAGGGCATCGCCAGCCAGCACACGGCAGTGACAGCCCGGCCTGTCTCGGCAGGTGCTTACCATGCCGCCCGCTGTCTCCCGGCACTGCTCCCAGCGCCATACAGCCACGACCGGCCCTGTTCGCACCCGGCTGTTCAGGGGAAGCCAGTTGTTGCCGGTCAGATTTGGACTATGTCCCTACAGGCAACATCGCTCCTGTCCCGCAGAAAGGGCACCCAAGGGAGAAGCGGAGCCGCCATCCTTTGGCAGCAGAGCGCAGGCAGCTCGGGCACCCGCGCCCCAGCCCACCTCCCAGAGGACCGCTTACCTGCCAGGAGGTGGGCTCAAACACGCCCCTCTGGAAGCCTGTCTCTGATTTTTGGCCCTGCAGCTGCTACCGATCATATCTCCCCATAACCAGAAAACACCCCCTTCCCTGCCAAGCCAGCGAGCAGCACCTGGGCCAGTGCAGGGCTCTGGGAAGGGGCAGAGAGGATGGGGGCCTTGGGCAGAGCAGGAGCAGCGGCAGGGGCGGCCGCCGAGGCGCCCCCC